AAACACTTAAGTAAGACATAGTATCGATTTTACATAAACTCTTTCAGAAAAAGAGAGGAGGTGGGGACACTTCCCAAGTCATTTTATAAGATCAGCATTGCCTTGATATCAAAACCAGACAAAGACATTACAAGAAAACAACAGGTCAACATCCCTCATCAACACTGACACAAAAAATCCTTGAGAAAATTTCAGGAAACTGAATCCAGCAATATATAAAGAGGATAATATACCATGACCAACTAGGGTTTGTTCCAGCAATGCAAGGTTTGTTTAACATTTAAAAAGGCAACAATTAATGCAGTTTACTGTATTAACAGAATAAGAGGACACCATATGATCATTCCAATAGATGGGGAAAAAAGCATTTGACAAAATTTAACACTCATTTGTGAGAAAACTTCTCAGTAAATTAGGAATAGAAGGGATCTTCTTCAACTTAATAAAGAACATTTATGAAAAAACCTACAGCTAACATCACACTTCACAGTAAAGGATTAAGTGCTTCCCCCTATGATCAGGAACAAGACAAGGATGTTTGCTCTAACCACTTCTATTTAACATCACATTGGAGGTCCCAACCGGTGTAATAAGGCAAGAAAAAGAAATAAAAGTCATGAAGATTGTAAAGGAATAAGTAAAACTTTCTTTATTCATAGATGACATGTTTGTATACATGAAACATGCTAATGAATCTACAAAAAGCTACTAGAGCTAATGAGTTTAGCAATGATACATTATTCAAGATCAGTATAAAATCAATTGGGTTTCTATATTCTAGCAACAAACAATTAGAAACTGAAATTTAAAAATATCATTTATAATAACATTAAAATCATGAAATACTTAGGGATAAATATAACAGAATTTATGCAAGAAGTGTTCACTGAAAAGTATAAACGAAAATTTGAAATTAAGACTTAAGAAAATGGAGAGATATAGCAAATTCATGGATTGAAAGATCAAATATCGTTAAGATGTTATTCCTCCCCAAATCGATCTATAGATTCAGTGCAATCCACAGATGCACTGCAAGACTGTTTTACATCAGTAACACTCTTGTATATAAATCTACTTGATTCTTTTCAATGGCTACATATATTCCCTCATATGAGTCATGCATAGTTTATCCAACCAGTCCATCAAAAGTGGTCTGGTTAAGTCAATATTTTTCATTCACTAAATTTTGTTAGTAAACCTATCTGATTCAGACATATACATATCCTAATATGTCTGTACATATACATATATGTATATATGCATACATTATATAACATAACTGCCATACTCTATCCTGGATCATAGGATCCAAATAGTATTACTGGATTACAGAACATTCTTATATATGATAGTCCATAAACTTTATTATACAGAGTGGGTGATTTGCTAAATTAGCCATGTAATGGTCTTTGTATGGGACTTCATGCCACCTTTGGGCTTTCTCTATGGTAGAGATACCTGAGCCAGGCATATGGGCAGGTTTCCTTCCTCTCAGCTTTCCAAGCTGGGCCCAACTCTTCTTCCAGATGGGATTGCTTCTTTATTCCACGCCCGGCTCCCCAGTTCCTGAGCTGGAACTAACTCCTTGATCACTGGCTTTATGACATCACTGGTTTTATATCTCATGAGCACTATGATTGAAATCTCACTACTAATGACTTATAATATTTGTGCTGGGCTTGTCTTCTCAACTCCCTTCCCTCAAGTAGCAATCTAGTGTTTTCCCATGGACACATCTGTTTCCTACAGCTGGGATACCTGGTACTTTTTGCAAAGGATGGGTAGTTGCTACTGGAAGCCTTTCCAGCAAAAGCCTTCCAATTCTTCCATCTTAAAAAGAGAAGTTTTCCAATGTGAATGTTGAGATGCTTATTATTCAAACACTCATTTATTAAGTTGTTCATTCAATGAATGAACACCAACAAGGTCGGCAGCTAACACTGTGCTAAGCACTGAGGGGGAATACAGACAACCAAAACACAGATGACCAAATGAATGGTATAGACTATGTTATAGGAGTGTACTTGAACCTCTTTACAGGTTTGCCTTTCTCAAGTCTCTCCCTTTTGCAATCTATCTTCTATATGCTATTGAGTAAGCTTTCTAAAAACCAAAGTTCATCTGTTTTCACAGAAAAAAAAGTATAAATAAACTCTTTAGTGCAGTGTTCAAGTCTCTTCATAATCTGGCTCCAATTTTCATTCAAGCCTTAATTCTTCCCATTTTCCCTCATAAATTCTGTTCTACTACATATCAAACTCCTCGCTCATCCCATGAGGCACCAGGTCTTTTCCAATCCTTGTTCCCTTTGCCTAGAATGTCTTTCACTCTTCTTCCCCTGGCAAACTCCCAATCAACCTCCAAGATTCAGTTCAAAGTCTTGGTGAAACATTTCTTCTATTCTCCTCAACTGTCCTGGATTTTGGCACATTGTTCTGTCGCCTTTATTAGATGGTGAAATTTTTGAGGGCACTGGGTTTACTTTTGCTAGTCTTTGTATCTCTGAATTCAAGTTTGAATAGGGCCTGGCAAGTAATAGGGTCCCCATGAATATTTGTTAAATGAATGAAGAAATAAATGGATGTGAAGGAAGAGCTCAAAGGGCCTTGGTATACTTAGGTAAGGGATTTTTAAAGGCACAGGGCTTGAAGCTGCACCTAGGAAGACAAGAGACAGATGGGGAAAGAACATTTGGAGGAGGAAGATTATTATCCTAGGACACAGAAGAACACAAGCCCAAGACTGAAAGTGAAGACAGTGAGGGGGTCAGCCAGACTGTAGCTGACTGCTGCACTATCTTGACCTTTTCATTGACTAGATTTCTCAATTATATTTTCGGATCCTGGAAGGCAGGGTATTTTGTACACTCCTTTGTATCCCTTTCATATTTGATGCACATCTCCACAATCATCGTTCCTACTATGCTGTGGTTCTTACTCTGCTCTGTAATATAATTATTTGTGTATCTACTTGTCTCTCTAGAACTTATACCAGCCTCCCTCCCAGGCCTCTTGAGGTAAGAAACGAGATGAGGTCTTAGTGTCTTTGCATCTTCCAAGACACCTAGCATGGTGCCTGCCACACAATGGGTGCTCAGTAAATATTTTTTGATGCACCATTTGTTGATCTGATTACAGAGAACCACAAGGATATTTGTGTGCAACTGTGTATTGTGGCACAAAACTTATATATGCCTTCACACTGTGCAGTCTATTTTTGGCAATTTTCATTAAAATGTTATCTTATTGTACATGGAAGACTGTCATTTCAATTTTCTTCTTTGTTCCTTCTTGGATGACTCACATCTCTTATACCAGAAGGATATGACAGAAGGGATTCAAAAAGGGTTTGGACACATTTATGAACGACAAAGTCATAAATGTCTGGGTATAAGGAGTTGCTGGGAGCATGCAAAGGGGAAGGAGAAAACTTGCATTTCAAAAGTGCCTATTATGTGCCAAGAACTGTGCTAGGCAATTTGCATACATTGTATATTATTTAATCTGGCAGAGTATGTCAGCATAAAGACAGGACATGTCTATGTATAAGGCCAAAAGCCTATCTATTCAGGCACATAGCTTCTCCAGGTACCAGAGGCAGTATTCATCTTTATTAAAATTTTATCAGCCTTTTAAGACAGATGAATCTATGGATTTGCATTGTTTCCTAGGAACAGAACACTCGTTCTCAATTCAAGCTCCTACAGTTTAAAACTCCTTTTTGACATAACTTGATCAGTTTTTAAAGTCTCAATGCTTTAAATTACAATGCATTCGGAGATAGTCCCACAGCAATAACAGCGATTACATTTGCTCACAAATGTAATTTGTTCGCTTATCTTTATATTTCATAAAGCTTCCAAATACTGAACAAAGGTAAGTCAAGTCAAGAAAAGAGACTTCTATTAACCCTGACACCAGCAAATTGTCTCAAATTATAGCATGCCTTCTATTTGTATTCTAGATACATTGAGTGGTTTTTCAGAGATACATATTATACTTCATTTGTGGTTAGAAGAAAATTGGAAGGGAATTAGTTTAAGTTGTTTCTAATTTTTAAAAAACTAATAGTAACTTTATAAAGAATAATGCTCCCAAGTGTACAGATCCTGCATCTGGCAGGAATCAAAACATACCCAAAGTACCATCTCTGCGGGGAATGGCTTGAGAAAGTGGGGCTACAGGTACTGGTTCGCACATTGGTTTTATTATAAGCCACACAGTCAATCTAAGCCCTGCAACTACACATCTTGATCTGTGATGACATGCTTCCTGCCAGGTGTGGGGATGGGTGGGAAGAGAAGGGGTACACCTTCACATAAGGGATAATCAGCACACTCACTGGGCTCAGACAGCTTTCTGTTAACCTGTTTTGAGAAAGCTAAAAGAGACATCTTTGCTTCAGAAAGCGTATAGCCCATCTCATCTGGCTAGAGAAAAATGGCAAAAGTTCAAATGAAGTTTCACATTTTAGATGGTCTTCCCCCAACCTCTGTGCGCCACTAATTGCTGGAAAAACACCAGACACATCTTTGTGGTGATTCTGTGTTTCTTAAATTTTACATTAGTCAAAGAAAACTGAAAGACCAGGACTAACCCCAAAGAACATAGGTGTGACATACCACCTATGGGACTTTTTAAAGATAGACAAGAACCCAGCTTATACATTCTAAAAATTGCTCCTTCTGTTTTGAGACTAGGGGATGAAAATATGCACATATTCCAAAGAGTTCTTTGTGTGAACAGGTGACCCCTTCCCACAGTCTCTGTAATTAATTGAGAAATTAAAGTTAGTTGGCCTTTGAGATCTCTTGTAAAAAAAGGCAGAAGGTCTTGGATATTTTGGAACAAGAGTCCACTATTCTGCCAAGACAGTGTGTTATTGTTATTGGAGTGTCTCTCAACAAAACGGTATTGAGTGGTGAGGACGTGATTTTGATTAGGTGGAATGACTCAGCTCTTCCCCTTAAAGAAGAGAGGACTTGTCAGAGCCTTACTTACCTCATGATCTGGGATCTCAGAGGATAGTGTTTTCCCTAGGATGACCCCGGTCAAGTATGTCCAGCATCGAGCCGTGTTGGCAAGGTTATAGCCTCCTGTCTCCATCAAGAATTGTGAAGTTAGGAAAGAACAGTCACAAAACAGCAGGAGAGGGAAGGAGGGTAAGGAAGGAGAGAAAAATGTTTTAATAAAAGGGCTAAAAAGACAACTTCAACTTGCAGAATTTCACCTAAACGTCGCTTTATGATGTTTTTGAACCACCTAGTAGGCGGACTTTAGTGGACTAGTCAGACCATGCATAGTGTGGAACTAGGTAGTCTGAGGCCTGCAAAGATTAAGGAGGCCCTCAACTCTGAACAAATATGTATCCGAGGATTCCAAGCTCCTCCATTTCATCAAGTCATCAGCAAGATCGAGATCCCTGGAACCCGGATCTCTTGGGGCAACCTACCCAATGTCAAGGTTTCTGTGATGAGTTTTGCAACAATTCTGTAAAATGGCTGCTGGATGTAATTTGTATCTTAAAGCCATTGCCAGATATAGCCCTAGAAATATCCAGGAAAGAGAAATGGAAAATGCTGACAGACATAGACTTCCTTCTTTTAATTATCAGCATTTTCCTTTTCTCCACAAAACACAGGCCTAGTGGCAGAGATCAAAGAGAATGATATGAGGAAGGGACTGCTGATTGACGCTGTGACCCATCTCATCAGGTTCTGTCACAGTCACCCAGCAGCCATATTATACTGGCTAATAATCAGCATATTTTTGCACTGAATAGATGTGTTCTGCCATGCAAGCATTAGAACATTGGCCTTTAGCTAAATTCCAAGAGTGTGAGGATGAAACGGACTGATTTCCTAACCTCGGTGCAGCCTGAGGGAAAGAGAAGCTGGTCTATTTTAGGTACGGTAACCATATAATTTATTGTCCAAATGGTACATTTTAACAGTAAAAGGGAACACTGGGATAACATGTATAAATTGGGATATATGGTCACCTTTCTCTCAAGCCTTGAAAGCCTTTCTCCTTGAAAGGTCAGGGATACTGGGGATTTTGGAATGTCTTTTAGGCCTCAGTGGGGTCCAATGAAGCTTGGGGACATGGCCATCTCCACTAGTTGTCTATGTGTTACTGGGGATTGAGAATTTAAGTGAAATAGTACACTTAACACTTTAAACACTCCTGATGTGAAAAATCTGAATTTAGAAGATCTACTTATTGGTTATGATTATTCCAACTTATTGGTTATGACTATTTGATCTCAAAAAGATTCACTCTAGATTTTAAGTAGTAAGCTCTCTCTGGTACATATACAATATGATTTGATTTGCAAAAATTCCATTTACATACAGGAATTTTCAGGAATACACATACTGCGTAAGAAAAGTTAAATATCCAAAAGCCAAAACTTTGGGCTGAGAAAGCAAAGAGACTTTGAAAATGCCAAGTAAAGGCAGTAGCCACAAAGAAAAGTTGAATTTGCGCAGATGTATGTTGTGGAAAGGGCTTTTTTCTTCCCCTTAGTTGTACCTGTATCATCATCAGCATCCTTAGTGCTGTCAAGGAAAGTAATATGTCATACAATACTTATCAATTTTATCTTTTCCCTGAGTTGAGGTTAATAGATGTCTTGCCAGCTTTTCATTAAGAGGTTGCCTCTTGTAAGCACCTGTAATTTTGATCCCTCTAGGATTTGAGGCTGCCAAAGGACCAGGCTTGTGTATTTGTGTTGAACACTCACTCATTTTCATAAGGCCTTCCCACAGCCTCCTCTAATTTGGTTTTTACAACAGGTTGACAAAACAACAAACTATTAGCTGTTCCATAATACATGCATTTTAAGCTCAATCTGCTTGACCATGTTATTTTAACACACCAATCCATTCACCCAGTGAAATAAAGATTGTGCCAGATGGATAGTCAGAAGATTCTTAGCAAGGAATCTTCAAAGGTAGTTGAGGTTGTAGAAAGCACCTTTCACAAATGTGTAAATGCTTCTATTGAATAGACCCAGCTTTCTGTTGGTTAAGTCATACAAAATGTCAGTACACACTGAAGGCAAGGATGCCCAAGAGACTCTAGATCTCTCAATTTTGCTTTATTGTAACAAATCCATGCTTCTTTTGGTGGGGGTTAGGGGGAGAAGTCAATCTTGAATTCAGCTTAGATATTTAATTAATTCATGTATTTACTACTTATGTGTGAGTAGACTTAGAATTTTAATGGTATGTTTCCAAAAGATGATTATTAGAACTGAGAGTCAAAAACTATATTGAGAGAAGATGGACTGAAGTCCACTGAGGTTAATATCTGTTATTCTTAATAAGATCTGATGGCACCTTTAACCAAAGGACCTTTGCTTCAGAAGTGAAACTGAGACTTCAGAGTGCCAAGGAGTCAATGCACATGCCAAGCTGAGGAGAAGTGTGTCACAGTACTTCCTTATGCTGAATTGTGAAGGGGGCAGAGTTCTTTGACTCAGCCTTCTGGATCACAGGCAGGTTGGTATTATCCAATCTAAGAAAGTCAAGTTTTCCTCATGTCAATGGACAAAATGTGGAAGAAGGTCAGCAAATTCTCCTGGTGACCTTCCTTTGTACTCACCTCCTCCCAAAATGAGTGTTGCCAACTGCCACTGAAGGATGTACTTAAGACATTTGCCAATTCCCACTGGAGTCATGTTAAAGGAGCACATGGGATCCCCAGCAATCGTATCAGCTCCCAGCTGTAAGACCACTGCTTTGGGATTAAAGGCTATGTATACCTCCTTTAGTACACTGTAGAAAAGAGAAAGGATAGAAAATGTCAGAAAAAGATAGATCAGTTTGGTCTAGGGGTGGTGGTGGTGGTGGGGCAGTTGGAAGTATAGTTGAGTCAGCAAATAGTGAAGGAAAAAAAGACCCAACTTGTCAAAGTCATCAAACTTTTCATCTAAAAAGGGTGAATCAGACTGTATGTAAATTATACCTTAAAAAACCCGAATCAGGAAAAACATTCCCTCCACTTTCACCTTACCAAGGACCAAGTTTACCCTTATGCTTTAGAACACAAACTTCCTTTAAATATTCATATTCACTTAACTTCAACAGCCACAGGACAGAGTATACATATTTACTCCATTTTATAATCTGGGAAAGTAAGACATATATACTGAACAGTTCTGATAATTTAAGATTGTCAACATACTTGGAGTTTATTATCTAGTTATCAATGGAAACTGCTGAAGAGAATTAACATGCTTTGAAAGCATAGATGTTATCAGCTTACTTTCTATTATGCTAAAGGACTTCTGGGTTATGAAATGTAGCCCTCCCTAAATCATATGTAACCAGAGTCTTTATAGAGTAGGACATGATAACCATTGATCCAAAATTATAAATCTGAAAGCACTCTAAAGAATACGTTGTAGTGAGCAATAATAAGGATAATTTTGGGTAGAATCATACAGTGCTATTAAATCAATGTAACAGTTTTTTTTCCCCTGACAGTTAGAAGCATCATATATGAAAAGGAAGTTGTCAATGTGACAGATGACCTTAGTCAGGCTTCTAGTACTATCATTAATTGAACAATGACACTGTCCAGAATACATTCTTAGGAGTTATAAGGTCCCTCCTCTCAAGGGGCTTACAATCTAGTTTCCAGACAAAACATATACCAGTCCTCATGGGCCTGAGTAACTCTTACAGAGACATATAAACAAGTGCAAATTAACATACTTCAGAGTTGAGAAAATGCAGAGTCAGAAAGTGATAAAAAATGTTGGGGTTAATGACCCCTTCATAATCAACATGTCAAATTATACCAGTGCAGCAAAAACAGAAAAATTCCAGATCCTCCTAAAACTGCAAAAAGAATTCAAGGGATATAAAATGTTATTCTCCCAAATTCATATGTAACCAGGGTATTGAAACTATTGAAAAGTGCTCAGCTGCAGAGGCATTCTTTGACTCAAAAGACTGTTTTGTTTTGATTTCTCATCTATGCAGACAAATATTGTGTGATTGTGGAAATTATAAGAATATTATAAAACTTATGGCATATGATCCTTAATAGAGAAATACTCAAGCCTATTCTCTTTCATGTGCTTATCTCCTGATGCAGAGGGAAGATAAGCCACCTGAATAGTTAGCTAACATTTATTGAGCATCTACATGTACAGGGCACCCTATTAGCTGCTATCAGGAGACACAGAAGAAGGCATGATTTCTGTTCTGTAGAGGTTTATAGCTTAACAGGAAGAAGGGGGAGGCAAGAAAGACTGTTTCCTCATTCATTCTTTCCCTCATTTTGCACCTATTTACTGAGTGCCCTCTGTATGTCCAGCATGTAACTGTACAAGATGCTGCAGGAACAAAGACGAATATGACACAGCTCTTATCTTCATGTGGCTCAGAACAGAGGGGAAGGCTCATACTATGTTAATCAGTAATTAAAATACAATGATAAATGAAGTATCAGAGATGGCACAGAGAAGGGAGTAACTGACTTTTCTAGAAGATGTTAGAAAAGGCTCTACAGAGGTAACTTTTGATTTAGGTCTTAAAAGATAAGAACTACAGTGAACCACCTATTAAAATGGCTAACATGAAAAAATAGTGATAATATCAATTGCTAGTGAGGATGTGGAGAAACTACACCACACATAGCTTGTGGGTGGGAATGCAAAATGGTATAGCCACTTTGGAAAATAGTTTGGCAGTTCCCATCAAAATTAAAAATAGACTTACCATATGACCCAGCAATCGCTTTCTTGGGCATTTATACCAGAGAAATTAAGACTTATTTTCATATAGGAACTTGTACACAAATATTCACAGCAGCTTTATTTGTAACAATCCAAACTGGAACCCACTCAGATGTACTTCAATAAGTGAATGGTTAAACAAATTGTGGTACATCCATACCACTGGAATAGTGTTTATCAAAAAAGAAACACGCTATTGATAAATGAAAAAAAAAAAAACTTGGATGGCTTTCAAAGGAATTATGCTGGGTGAATAAGGCCAATACAAAATCTATACTGCATGATTCCATTATACACCATTTGTTAAATAACAGTTTGAGGGATGGAGAACAGATTGGAGGTTGCCAGTAGTTAGGGATGGGTGTGGCTATAAAAGAGTACTATGAGACAGCCTTGTGATGATGGTACAGTTCTATATCTTGATTGTGGCGGTGGTTGTGGTTATGCAAAGCTACACATGTGATAAAAATCTCATAGAGCCACACACAAACACACACACACGAGTGCATGCATAATTGGTGAAAACTGAGTAAGCTCTACGAATTGTACCAACGCCAACTTCTTGATTTTGATGTTGAATTATAATTGTGCAGGATGTCAACATTGGAGGAGGCTGGAACTTTCTTGTACATTTCTTTGCAACCTTCTTTCAATCTATAATTATCTCAAAATAAGAAGTAAAAAAGAAAGAGTAGGAAAAGTTTACAGGCATGTGGGGTGAAGATAGTGGAGTTGGCAGCAGGAATGGTTGTGAGGGTTACTGGTAGGAGGCAAGGTTCAGAGAAGGAACTGCACACACAAGAGCATGATGGCTTTAAACAGGCAGTGGTGGGAGGGAGGCTAGTGAAGTAAAACAGGGTTAGGACACACGGGGCCAGATATGCCAGGCAGGCTAATGAGTGGGGACTTTTACTTCAAGAGTATGGAACATCTCAAACATTGTGTGTGTCTGTGTGTTTCCATGCATGTACCTGTGTTGGGGGAATGATCAGATTTCCATTTTGAAAAGATACTCTGGCTATAGCATAGGATATACTGAAGGTTATCAGGGGACGTTTGCACCCATCCAGGCCAGTGGCAGCAAGCGAAAGGAAGAAGAGATGGATTTGGGGGACACTTCTAGGGTAGAATTGAGAGGGCAGCACATAATGACACACAAGAAAAGCATATATATAAAACATTCATGAGTGTTTTGTACTAGGACAGAGAAAAGGATAAAGGAAGGCAGGTGTTTCTGGGACAGCTGTTTGAATGATAGCCAGGAAGAGAAAACGAGTCCTCAGGGAATTCTGATGAGGAGGGCTCTGGATGGCTAGAGAAAAGGGTAAATTAGAAGCTTTGGAAAAGGTAAGGTATTTTGTACACAGTGTAAACATCAAGGCCACTGCAAGTGAGGACAGCTTCCATGTGAGGGCTACATGGTGGACACTCTTAAAGACTGAAAGTTTCCATTTGGTTTGACAGTCCAATGGGAATCACTGGAGAAGTATAAGGACTGATGTTGCTGAAAAATGATGCTTAGGAACTCTGATTTTTGCTGCTGCATGGAAGGCCAAAGAGAGAAAGTCTGGAGGCAGAGGGGTTGGCAAAAAGGGTACTGAAGCATTCTAAGCACAAAAGCATCAGGAAGCAAGGTAAGATATAGTTGGAAAAAAATGAGAGGGCTAGGTGACAGACTGGGTGGGGGTTGGGGGCGGACAGAGTAGAAAACACACTGTGCCAATTCCTCCAGAATTCACAGGAGGGGGAAAGAGAAACTGAAATATTCCTTCTCCTATTGCAACTTCCAAATCCGGTGTTCTTTCCTCTCATCAATCTCGCCTCTTTTGAGTCAATGTCATTTGCTTATACTACTCAAACTAGCAAACATCCTAGCTAGAGACCTACTACGAGGTACTCTTTCATCGCCCTTAAGGACTTCAGCACCTGGTTCACAAGTTTTTCTGTCTCTCCCTTTCCCTGTCATTTTTCTTTGCAGTTCACTATTCATTTGCTTACTCACATCTTGATTCAAGCACCTCTTCCTACCTCTACTGGGCACTAGAGATACAGAAATAAGACCCAAGGAGCATATTGCACAGTAGGGAAAGAAGACAGGAAAACAAATAACTGTGATCAGTGCTATAATATCCATCCACTCAATCAAAAAAAATGTTAAATAAAAGCCTACTGTATACCAGGCACTACGTTGGGCAAAGGGTTTACTGAATCTTTTTTAAAAAGATTATTTATTTATTTATTTGACAGAGAGAGAGAGCACAAGCAGGGGGAGCAGCAGAGGGAGAGGGAGAAGCAGGCTCCCCGCTGAGCAAGGAGCCCGACGTGGGGCTCGATCCCAGGACCCCAGGATCACGACCCAAGCTGAAGGCAGACACCTAACCGACTGAGCCACCCAGGCGCCCCGGGTTTACTGTATTGAAGAGACCTGCCCCTTCCCCCTGTTACCTTTTTAATTCTCTGAAATCACAGTTTCTTCACCTTTTGAACAACAGTGATGTCCACGTGCACATCACTGTTATCTCTAGGCATAGCCATGCTTTGGGGCCTGCTAAGGAAGTGCTTGGAAATGCTCTACTTCTAACACCCTGAACTCTGAACTGCTTTTTCTGTGTACAATTTTCTATCTTTCTGTCGAACTTGTTCTTTATTCTCATTTTAACTCCCATTTCCTTGTCTTCCTCCTATTTTCAAAGTCCACCAGTTTATCTTTTGACTTCATCTGCTTCACTACTCATTTTGGAGAATATGATTAGTCATTTCAAAAACTCTTATTAGCATACTTAATTCCCTCACACCTTTGTCATTTTTGCCTTGTCAATCCTTAAGCCCTTGGATAAACCACTCTGTTAGTATTTTCTGCTCTGTTCTGCTGGAGAAAACTAAGAAGTTAAGCCAATTGCTTCCTCTATAGTTTATGCTTACGACTCCAATTCAACAAATTCTATAAACATTTATTGAGTGATCGATATGTGCCACTCCCTCTGTGCAGCTTGGCAATCATTTGCTTCACCTCTTGTTCATAAACAATTA